CACAACACTTTGATATTGAATGCGTGCATTTTCCACAGCAAGAAATTCCCAAGGTCCCAACACCAACAATTCAGTTCACTATGACACTCTAACCCAGGAGCTAGCTAGGCCTCAGCCATGCAAAACTGTTCCTACTGCAGACACGAATTGCAAATCCCAGGCTTTTGGTCCTCTGCCCAATTCAGCTATAAAGTGGGGGTTCCCCTGACTTTTTCATTTTTTAAAAAAGCTTATTCATGTAACATTTTCTTGCATGAGACAAAAGCAGATACCACTAACCAGGTCCTCACGCTACAACCACCCTCAGTCTCAGCGAGGCTGGGTCATGAGCAGGTGCATCCGGCCACTCTGAGAGATCCTGAGATATAAATGCAAGACCTCCTTTACGTAAGTCCAGTTGTGCAACCACTGCCCCACCGCCTGGCCACTCCTCATGGGTGAGAATTTGCCATAATGGGTCACAGGACTCAGGAAACCCTTTACTTACATTTACTAGTTTGTAATGGGGGCAAGCCAGTGGCGTGGTGATTAAGGAGGCTGGATCCCACATGACCAGCTTCATGGTTTGAGTCCTGGACTCGGCTGTTTGAAAAACACACCAAGTGTTTGTTCATGTGTGCCCAAAATCCAAGAGGAGAATGGAAGAGACGGGATTGACGTATGTCACCCCCTGCCCTCCCAGTCCCGTCTCTCTCTGGCAACCGCATACACCCTACAGCAAAAACGTAAAACATCTTATTCTTTACATCACATGCTGGGGAGCACTGGCATAAAGAAAAGCTTGGAGTCACATTGTCAAATCTATACTCCTTGGTGTCATCATAGTTTGTTTACCGTGACTAAAACACGCCTTTCGGGGCATCACTGTGCCCTGTAACCAAAGCCTCAGGCTCATGCTTCACTGAGGCCTCTAAGATTTCACTGGTCCTTGTATTCCACAGGTTGCTCCAAACTGTTTTTGTTTTGTTTTGTTTTGTTTTGTTTTGTTTTGTTTTGTTTTGAAGAGGTTTTTGCTATAGAGCATGTGCGCTCCAGAAAGACAAAGACAGAGAGGTAAAAAGCGAGAAATCACTCCCCGGGGGGCTGGCCACGCCACAATCCCTTCTCCATTCTCCTCTTGGGATCTTGGGCACGCACATACACGCCCGGCTTGAGTTTAAGCCACCGGGTCCGAGACGCGAACAGTGGTCGACTACATGGGCGTTCAGCGACATAGCCATTACGCTAACTGCTGGTCCCACTCCAAACTGGTTTTTTTTTCATGCAGAGTGGGCCCCAGAACATTGCCAGTCGCCAGAGCAGAGGGAAACAAAGAGCTTGGGAAACGGTGCCCTGGCTTTAAGGCTTCACTGGAGAAGTGACATGCATCATTTCAGCTCACATTTATTGACCAGAACAAGCCGTATGGTCCCATCTAATGTATGGGACAGGGAGACGCAGTCCAGTCTGACACTCAGGACACCTAGAAATGCATGACAAAAAACACTGGCGACTGCACGACAGGGACGCAGACTCATGGTCTGGGGACAAAGGCACAAACGGAAAACAGCTCCCTTTAACACGTGGAACTGGATGGATGGTGACTTCTCCCATGAGCAGAGAAGCAGCAGACCCGCTATGAGGCTTTACTTGCATAGAAACTTAGGGGAAGGAAGCAATGAAGCTGACTGCTCTTAAAATGGAAAGGGTGCAGAAAAGTGTTAATGTTCACTTCATTCCATCTGGTTTGAGTGTTGACCACATCATTAACTTGGGTGGACCGAACTGTGAGACCCCACCCCTGACTCTTGACTACTCAGCACAGGATGATGTAAGTAGCCGAAAGGGAGCCCAAAGAATTGAGTGCTTATGACCTGGGGTAATCAGGCTTCACTAAAACAACCAGCCTGGGGACAAGGCTGACCCAGGGCGAGAGGGTGCTGCTCTGCTGCCCAGGAGCTGGCTGGCGTTGGACCTGCCCCAGGTAGTTCCTGCTTCTTATCACTTCTCTTTGGGGAACAATGAGGACTCCTGGCCCTTGCTCCCAGGACTCAGGATCCATTTTTCCAGTCCAAAGGCCAGAACCATAACACTTGCTATGCCATCATTAACCTTATAAAAGAAAAAGCAACTGCAGAGACCACGACCTTGATGTAGAGCAAAAGTCCGATACACTCATCCCTTGAGAAGTTTCAGATTTTCATCTGGAATCATTCCACACTGCCATCCTGACACCCATGAAGGGGCCTGGGGCAGAATGGGGACTCAGGGAAGAAGTGCCAGGTCATGGCAAGGGACAGGAAGTGGCCCTCGAAGAGCCCTGCCTTGGGGACTTCCCACCATCGTCATGATAGGAGCCGGAAGGAGCTGGTTTGGAGAAAGAGGAGAAGACTGACTTACGAAGTGAGAGGCCATCTACCTGGCGTGTGTGACCCAAGCCGAGGCCAAGCCTGTGCCAGTTCGGCCATCCGCTCTGCTTCCCACCTGCAGGCACACACCACTGCCGGCAGGAGGCAGCTGCTTAAGACTTGGATGGTCTCTTTCCACCTTCGAGCTGCTCAGGGCTGGCCTGGGAGCCAGGGCTATTGGGAAGATGGTTGTGGGCACATTAGAAATCTTCAGAAGTAGAGCTGTGACTTGGTGCCTCAGGGGTCCATATATACTTCATTATTTTGATTCACCAAGCATTACTGATCAGCAAGGAGTCCGGGACCATGATGGGAACAGCTGAGAGTAATCCCCGTCCTCGCCAAACCCACAGCCCAGAGGGCAGAATGACACATAACCAAACACTGGCTGCAGGGCCTCCCAAGGGTCAAGAATGACACAGGCACAGTTTGGTGGGACCCCGAAAGAGGAAAAGGCCGATTCCTGCAAAAAAATCCTGCTGGAGGAGTCCAGAGCCTTTCTTGGTGGACTTTCAGCCTGAATCATGGCCTCCTTTAACAAGGTCCTGGAGGGGACTAGCCTCTCTTATAATTCTCTTTTCTCTTAGACCAGCTATCCGGCAGCGGGGAGAAGGGATGTGCAATCTTCCTAGAATCGTATGGGCAGCAGAGTCCCTGGAACAGAGCCCTCCTGCAATGAAGAGCTCACAGCTCACCAGTGCGGCATAACAAAAATAATACTTGTTTTTAAAGCTCCTAAAACCCTTGGCATCTCCAAGCGCTGAGAGTATCTTTCGTGTTAATGAATACAAGTGATGGGGACCCCCAGGTAGCAACAGGACTGGGTCTGGTTGCCAAAAAGCCCATGGGATGATGAGAAGGTTGGAACTTTCAGCCCTTTGTCCTGACCCCTGGGGAGCAGAGAGGGTCTGTAGAACAAGTTCAATCATCAGTGGCCAATGATTTCATGACTCACGCCTGCATAAGGAAGTCTCCGTAAAATCCCCTAAATGACAGACTTGAGAGAGCCTCTGGGTTGGTGGGAGGAGCTGGGGAGGTGGCACCCTGGAAGAGGGCATGGAAGCTCTGTGCCTCTTCCCTCCTCCCTGCCCTGTGCATCCCTTCCATTGCTGGTCCCAGGTTGTCGCCCTCATGGTAAACCTGTAATCGTAAGTAAAGCGGTTTCTGAAGTCCTGAGAGTCATCCTAGCAAACTACTGAACCTGAAGGGGAAGGTGGTGGCAACCTCCAATTTGTAGCCCCATCAGAGAGAGTGTGGGTAACCTGGAGACCAACACTCGTGACTGGTGTTTGAAGGAAGGGCGGTCTTGTGGGGCTGGTCCCTTACCCTGTGCAGTCAGGGCCCAGTCTGGATAGTTAGCGGAAGGACTGGCTTGAACTGCTGGACATCCCGTTGGTATCAGAAAGCAGAGAGTTTGATGTGTGCAAAAACTCACGGAGAAGGAGACCAGCAGTTAGCGTAATGGCTATGTCTCTGAACTCCCATGTAGTCGACCGCTGTTCGAGTCCCAGACCCGGTGGCTTAAACTCACACCAGGCGTGTGTGCGTGCATGCCCAGGATCCTGAGAAGAAAATGGAGGAGAAGGGATTGTGGCATGGCCATCTCCCCGGGGGGTGATTTCTCACTTTCTGTCTCTCTGTTTCTCTCTGTCTTTCCAGCGAGTGCACGCACCCTATAGCAAAAACCTCTCAAAACAAAAAACAAACAAACAAAAAACCTCACCGAAAAGGAGGTTCATGGAAAGAACTCAGCATTGGTTGCTGCCTTTTCCACATCAGTAAGCAAGGCCATCTGAGGGCCATCTGGTCCAGTTCTCAAGTAGAGATGCTGAACTACACTCTCTGCCCTTCTCTCTCTCTCTCTCTCTCTCTCTCTCTCTCTTTTGAAAGAGTTTTGTTTGTTTTTGCTATAGGGTGAGTGCACTCACTGGAGAGACTGAGAGAGACAGAGACAGAAAGTGAGAAATCAGCCCCTGGGGGGATAGCCATGCTGCAATTCCCTCTCCACTCTTCTCTCTGGATTGTGGGCACACACGCACATGTGCTCAGCATGAGTTTTAAGCCACCGGGTCCAGGACTCGAACCATGGTCAACTACATGAGAGTCCAACAAGGTAACCATTACGCCATCTGCTAGTCCCTGTGCCTCTCTCTTTTTGAATCTCCTCCCAGATACTCTCAGGAACTGTGTGCCCAGCCCTTCCCCAGGGGCTGAGTCCTTCCCTCCTCTCCCACATTCTTCCCCGGACAGCCAGATATCTGTCCCATCACCTCCGTTTAGTCCTGTAACCATGTTGGCCTTCCAGGGTCTGTTCTAACTTTGTATTGCTTCTTTTAGACATTTCACTGTCTTCCCTCTTCCCTAAAGCCAAGAATCCCTCCTTCCCGAGGACATCGCTCTTGATGCGTTTGCCATCCAAGCAAGTGGGCAGCTTCAAACGGTACTGAAGTATCCTGCTTTCCTGAGCAAGGCTTGTCAGGGCCATCTCTTTCCTAGTGGCAAGGACCAGGACACCATTTAGATTCAGTTGAGTCAAAATGGGAACTTAATCGATTTATTTTCATTTGCCAGAGAGAGAGAAGCAAAGCAAGAAAACACTCCCCCTGGGGCATGGTCGCACTGCAATCCCTTCTCATCCATGTAGCCCTCCTTTGTGGATTTTGGGCACACAATTACAAACTCCCAGTGTGTTTATTCAAACCACTGGATTTGGGGTTTGGACCATGTGGTTGACGATGGAGAATCCAGCCCCCTGTAGTTACTCAGGCTACAGGTTGGCCTAAGAAACTTACTGTGAAGTAATAGGTTATCCTGGATGATCGAAACCCAGAAAGGACCACAGATGGCAACTGGACAGAAGGACAGGGACCAGGACCAAATAGGCAGGATCAGGGCTGCTACCCTCTCAGAGCCTCCTCCCAATCTTTACAGTCACATAGTTTTTCAACGCCTCTCATTTATATTTTCATTCTTCTTACAACAGTGGTTTTCTCCACTTCTCTGCCCCCACGATAGAAGACGACGTCACACTGACCCCAAGATTTACAGTTCCTCTGCTTGTGCAACCTTCAGATGCTGAGTAGGACCACAGAATTCTCATTCCCAAATCCCTAAGAAGGGAACTTTCTCCTGATGCAAACCTAGTTACAAATAGCTGTCAAATAGCTATGCCCCAGAGAGGCGGTCACATGACATCAGTGTGGCTGTGTTGACGGAGCAGTTCTCAGAGAAGAGGGACACTGGCCTCGGGGTTTATCCCAAACTCCACGACAGACAGCATTTACAAAGCTTACTAGAATTAGGCGTTGTCTGCCTACACGGGACCTGGCAAGGCCACTCGTAGGAGGATAGACGTGCCTGCAGCCAAGAGGGCAGTGCAGAACCTGTCCAGGCACTCAGTCAATAGTTTTAGTGGTTGAAGCAACTTCCAGGAGCAGCTGCAGATGCAGGGTGGCTGTCTGAAAACACCTGGGCTGGAACTGGAAGTGGACAAACAGGAAATACACCAGGAAGCCACAGAGCAGGAACAGGAAGATGTATAGGAACTCCATCTGGGGGTAGTCGATGATGGGAGCCAGCACCAGGTAGAGAGAAGCCAGGACCGTGATGGCAGGGATGAAGGTAGGGACCTGCAGAGGGATGAGGTGGGGCTCTTGAGACCTGGATGCAGGGGTCCATAGAAGTGTCATGAGATCCCTGGCTTCTGTCCTTCTTACCTGTCTTTCTATTTCTTCTACCTGCCACCAACCCCTCTCTTCTCACCTCCTGGACTCCCTGGACTCCTCAGGGATCAGAGTCTTAGGAACTAGTATTACCTGCTCTGAGCTACAGGAATCCAACTGTGTACATGCATCCTCTCTGCATTCATCTCTCCCCTGAGGTCCTCCAGAGGAGAAAAGAGTCCCCGCAAACAGAATTGATATATTGTGAATTCAGTCGCCCCTCAACCCAGGTCATCAGGAACTTTCTACCTAATAGAATGACAATGGAAACCTCTGACATCCTCTCTCTGCAGTCAATAGGGCTATGATCTGAAGACCTGTGTCCTGCAGGACCCTAAGTTTGAAAAAGCTCAGTGTTGATCCCAAAGTTTACCTTGTAGGGTCGAGGAAGATTCTTCTTCTTCATCCGCAAATATAGGAGACAGCTGATGGTAATTCCATTGGTGAGCCAGGCTAGACAGCTGGAAGGAGAATGAACTGCTCATTATCAGGCTTTGCCATCGTTGGACGCACAAGAGGGCTGAGCTTGGAGATGTACACATCAGACAGAAGGACCTGCTTATCGGGGGCTGTCTGGCCACCCCTAGGTCCCCTTATCCGTGCAGACTAAGGAGGGAGAAAGCATGACTGGAACACAGAGGGCAGAGTGCACTGGAGATTAAACATGCGTCCACTCCTGCCACCATTGTCCTCAGGCACAAAGTGGCATATGCGCGACCCAGTCACCCGCATCCCTCTGACTGGCTCTGACAAGAGGAAGCAGTCAAAGGCAGGAGCGAGTGTTTGTGTTTCTTAAAAAGGAGAGCCTGGTGGAAGCTCAGGGAAGCCCGTGCTCTCTTGAGGGACCAGCACAGGCATAAAGGCTCCCAGCCCCTGCAGTTTCCCATAGGGTTGGTGACATGATGGGGTAGGCTGCTGAGCACCCATATAATCCCTCACCGCTGCCCTCTGCAGTGTCTGTAGTTGAGTGGCTGATGTAGGTCTGATAAAAATCCCATCTAGCCAGGGCCAGCAGATGACATGATGGTTAAGGCTCTAGACTCCCACTTAGTCAACTGCGATTTGAGTCCCGAACCTGAAGGCTTGAAAATCACACCAAGCGCGTGTGCATGTGTGCCTAGAATCTCAAGGGGAGAATGGAGGAGAAGGGATGGCAGGTGGCCAACCTCCCTGGGGGGTGATTTCTCACGTCTCTCACTCTGTCTTTCCGGTGCTTGTACTCTATGGCAAAACCTAAAAAAATTCCATCTATCCTTGAGGGAGGGCCATAGCAGGCCATCTTTCGAGGTGACCAAGGCCCAGAGATGCCGTATCCTAGTTGGAAGAGATCGCCCTGGAATCCCCACTCTGTGCTAGACATTAGCAGTCACGCTCCCCAGTCTCGGCCTCAAGCTCCTCCAGATGGACGTACTTGTTTTCTCACCACATAATGAGTTTATCTTTTTTCATGGGAAAAAGATAAAAAGAAAACCCATGTCTGTAACTTGCTGTTCTTAAAATAGTACATCACACCCGGTACTTTCTGTCTCGGGCTAATTAGACTTGTGGCAGTGAAGGAGGAGAGAATGCGATGCCTCCCAAGTTACTTCGAGAACCCCCTCTGCACCCAGACAGCATGCTCACCTGCTGGTTTATGATCTGCCTACTGACCTCGCTTCAACCACGCTGTAAGATTACAACTGGTTATCATGACAGCCCATCATTGTGCCACTAGGGAAAGCCATAAAGGAGGTCAGAGCCTCTCCCGACCTGGGTGCAATCACTGTCTGCACAGGCTGGTGGGAGGTCTGCTCTCGGTTCAGAGAGGAAATGTTGGGTCAGAGTCCAGAAGGCAGACCTAGACTTCAAAGGAAAAATCACACCATAGCCAGGGGCTACGAGCCGTGGGAGTAATGCCTGGGTATCCTTTGACATTATCTAAGCAACAAAATCAAGAAACAAGAAAATAGGAAAACCGACAAACACAACACGAGCCTTTAAGTTCTCTGTCCCTTGGCCAAACATCTGTCTTGCTGAATTTTTAGAAACGGGGTAAAAAAAGAAAGAGGAGCATTTCACTTCGGAAACACAACTGGGAAAGAATGGTTGAATAGTATATGCACGTGCAGGGGCCCTGAGCCTGGCCTCCTGGAAATGTGTACACATGTGTGTATGTGTATGTGCATGTGTGTGAGAGTATGTACACGTGGAGGCTACGAAAGTGAGCGCACACATGTTTGTATGCACGTGCATGTGTGTGAATGTGTACACATTGGGGCTATAGAAGTCTGCATGCACATGCTTATATGTATGGGGGGTGTATACACATGGGTACACACATGCTTATAATACGTGTGTGAGTGTGTACACATGGAAGTTACAGAAATGTGGAAGCACAAGTTTATATGTGTGAGTGTATACACATGTGCATGTACATGTTTAAATGTACATGTGTACATGCCTGTGCTTATGTGTGTGTGCACGTGTGTAAACCTGGATACACGTGGGGGGACTGGAAGTGTGTGTGCACGTGTCTATATATGCATGCATGTGTTTGAATGTGTCCCCATAGGGCGCTCCAGAAGAACACACACGCAAATAAGTACGAGTATACACATAGGGGTATCCAGATGCCCAGCCTGGGAAGACATGCACTTGCCTCAGGAAGTTCACGATGGTGCTGAAGTTTCCTAGGATGACCAGGACCAAGGCCAGGGCTGTGGTGAACATCAGGGCTGGAGCAGGAGTGAGCCGATGCACGTGAACCATGGACAAGAGCCGGGGCTGGGAGGCAGAGCAGATGTTAGGTGGGCCCTAGGGGAGCAGCAGTAGGTGCTTCTTCTCCTAATAAACACAGCCGGTACATCAGTGTGCCCAGCCTAACAGCCACCAGTCACTGTGGCTTCCAGATGTAAGTCTCTGTGGTTCCCCAGATGACCCGGAAAGGAGCAGACAGGGCAGGTATGGATGAACCATGGAAAGAGAGAGCCTGGGTTATCACAATAACTGCGTTCTTGGTCATCGAATATTCACCTGAGGGAGGAATATAGTTCCTCAACCATTGCTGGGGGGCCTGGCCGTGTCGCTTGCTTTAGCCAATAAAACATGAGCAGGAGTGCCAAGCAGAGGCTCTGAATATGCTTGCATGGCTCGGCTTGGTCTCCTGAACCCCTGCAAGACCATGCCCCAGGGAGCAGCTACTGCTCCGACTTTGATCTGAGATAAGGCCAGACTCGGTTCAGTTTAGACCTGATCCGAGATAAGGCCAGACTCGGTTCAGTTTAGACCCGAGCAAAGCCACAGCCTGAAGAGAGCCACAGCTGACCCAGTGACTCGCGCACAGTGCTGTTTGTTGCGGCAAGCCACCATGATGTTGGGGCTGTCAATTATTCAGCTTATTGCAGTAAAAGCCGACACAGGGACAGGGAGTCCCCAGGAGGAGGCCCAGAGGACACACAATGGCACTGCTCCTTCCCTCGTGCTGGCAGACTCTGCCCCTCGTCCTCCACACCTGCCGCATATGACCCAGCACTGCCATCTCCAAAAGACCAGGGAGCAAAGGGATTGGAGTTAGAGCTGAGAAGGATGGACTGCTTGAGTCCCGGAATAAACAGGGCTCGTTTTACAGGGAAAGTCCGGTTTGGGGCTAAATGCTACACAGGAGCAAGCTCAGATGGCAGGTCTCCCAGCCCCCCTCCCCAGCCCCACCACCTTGCACCTCTCACCAGGTGACCCTCTCTTGCAGCCACATAGCACACACGGCTTCCGCTGAAGAACGACCCATTGGCAGAACCAAGTGTGGAGAGCGTAACAGCCAAGGGCACCAGCCAGGCCCAGGATCCCAGAACCTGATTCCTAGAAGAACAGAGGGCTCTGGGGAAGACGTTCCGGCAGTGCCCCGGAAGGGCACACAAGGCCCAACTCAGAAACGGAACAAGAAATACATTCCAAGCCAAGTTTAAATGGACATAGGACATCCGCCCAAGGAACATCCTGCATGGCACTCACCCCCAGCTCACAGCTATCGCATCAGAGGAAAGGATCTCCCTGGATGACAGCACGAGCAGGTAACTGACGTTGGCCAGGAGGTACAGGATGGTGACCAGGGGGATGGCGATCGCCAATGCCCACACAAGGTTCTGCTGCAGGGGCAGGGAGAAGAGGGCTCGTATTAGCCAGCGAGGTCTTTTTTAGGCCCCCAGACCGAGCACAGGAGCACAGCACTGAACTGGTCCTGGCCGCAGGGCATTATGCCAGCCCCGAGGGGTGAGTCAATCAGGAGCCCCCTCCCCTCCGCAAGTTCACGGTCCCCACAGCATGGATACACATTCATGCAGAAGTGGGAGGGCATAAGGGGCACCAATCAGAGCAGTGCAGAGGAGGGACAGAGATGCTGACAGAGGGTGGAGGGAGAGAGGAATAAAGAGGGCCTTCCTCTGGGAGCTCCTTGAAGAGTGGAAGAGATGCAAGCTGGTGGGAAGGAGAGGACTTACCAGCAGGGCAACCATGAAAGCCAAGGCACAGAGAAAACACAGGGAAGTCATAGAATTCCTTAGTCTGCTGTCCACTGGGCAGTCCAGCTAGAACATGCCAGGCTCCCCCACCCTAATCCTGCCCAGTTTCTGGGTTCCCAGGACTCAGACCCAGACTGAGGGCCATTACATGCAGGTCTCTACTCCAACCTTCGATTTCCTCACCCGGGAATTAGAATCAGTGAGGATCTATAAACGGGAGACCTCTGCTCACCTGCAAGTGTGAACATCAGTGGAGAAGCAGGGCAAGGAAGGATCCAGAAGGATCCACACAGGGAAGGTGGCACTTGGTCTGGTGTGCAATACTGTGGCCTCAGCGCCCAGCTGACCCACGGTCACCCAAGGGGCATATGGAGCAGGATTCAATAAATACTGAGAGATGAATGGACACTAGGTTAAGCCAGAGTGTAGACAGCTTCCTCTCACTCTGTAGTCCCAGCCCTGGACATCAGTTGGAGCCAGGAACGAATAGAGGAAAGAGGCCTCTAGGCCCATAGAACTTTACCCATGATTCCCCAGGCTCAGGCCAGCAATGGATAGACACCTTTAGAGTGAGAAGCCATGTCTGAGGCACCACCTGGTCCCTTGGAGCTTGCTATCTCAGTGTCTTTGGCTTACCTTGGGAGGAGGACCAGGCAGGCACTGGCAGCCTGGAGTCTCTCCCTCAGCCGAGAACGCGCCATTGCTACACAACATCAGGGCCACACAGTGGCCCAGGAGTAATGCAACACTTTGCAACCCTGAACCCTCATGGGAAGGTTCTAGATTCACTTCTTGAGGTCTCCCTGTGTACCCCGGATATGTGTCTATGCCTAAGACCCAGGCTAGTTGAGGCTGGGGGAGGACTGTAGTGCAAAGACTCTGTTGGGGGTGCCCATCTCTCTCTCTTTCTCAGAAGAAATAAACTATTTTTAAAAATGTAACATTAAGTGAAATAGAGACGAGGCCATTCTTGACCAAGACGCAGAAGAGGCCTTGCAGAACTTGGCATGGAGCAGTTCCTGGGGGTTGCCCTGTGGTCCCAGACAGGCACCTTCCCACCACTAGATAGGACCCTCCCACTTAGGCACCTGGCTCTCACTAGCACAGCCTCTCTTCAGCATTACCTGACAGGCCATTTCTAGACCTTTCTGTCTAAGCCAAGCTCAGCCCAAGGACGCTTTGGAGGCTGAGTGTGGAAGGAGAGAAGTGGAGCATTGAGGACGTCATCATAACCTCAGGACCTACTTCGGGGTCCGTGACCAACCCGGGTAATGAGACTGTCATCACTGGCCCGTCCATTTCCTGTGGCACAACTGCTCCGTCCTTTCTGACCTCTGGGGATGCTGCCTCTATACAGCTGTTGGGCACTCGGCGTCAGCCCTCTGAGGTTCCGCTCCAGTCCCCTTCAGGTAAACTGCCGCCACCCCTGTCAGTCACCCTACCCAGCAGGCCACAGGGCAAACTCGTGAACGGAAAGCAAATTCAGTCATGCGTCACCTCATGATGCGAAATGTCCTGAGAAATGTATCAGGAAGCAAATCTGTCATCGTGTGACCATCACAGAGGACTCTCACACAAACCTACTTGGGACAACCCACTGCACGCCCAGGCCATATGGTGGTGCCTATGTGCTCCTTTGGGGACCACCAAATATGTGGCCTGTCATTGATTGAGATGTCATTATGCAATGTCAGACAACAGTGGATTGTTATACAAGTGCATCTAAAATTGGAGAACCAGGGCCAAGGAAATGCCCCAACCACAGCGTGGGCATGGTAGCTACTCATCACCTCAGGACTGGAAATATGGCCCTGACAAGGCCACCTACAGCAAATGGGCCTGCAGAGCAGAGAGTCAGGTTCTTCTCCTGTGAGCCTCCTTGTGGGATGCCCTCAGCAAGGTGAGCACCCGCCATGCAGGATCCAGCCCCACGCATACACAGAGGAAAGGGCCTGGCCTGCTCTGAACTCAACCTTATCTTGGGCAGCCCTCCCTCCAGCTAGCGAGCTGTGGCAATCATAGAGCCCTGGGTCATGCCATTGATGGGTTTCTGGCCACACATCACAAGCATAGTGAGATTTCCTGATTTTATCCCAAGGACCTCAATGCTTCACTCAAAGTCTGGGGAGTGTGGACACAAGGCTGGTCCCGGCTTGGCAGAGATTTCTCACCTTCTTGAAGTGTGAAATAAAAAAGATTATACTTACCGAGTGCTTTAGTGAGCCAGGCTAGAGCCAGAATCTCAGGGGCCCAGCATGCGGAGAAATGGCTTTGGTTTTGCTTTGAAACTTGCATTTGTCAAAGATGCTTTCTATACAGCAGGGAAGGGCCAACTACAACCATGGCCCAAATCCAAACCACCACTGCTTTTGTCAATAAAGTTTTCATTTATTTATTGCTTGATTGACTGAGAGATTTTTACTATAGGGCACATGGGACACCGCCACATTGATCTGTTTACCTGTGACTGTTCTTCATGCTACGATAGGCTTGAGAAGTCACAACAGAGATGGCGTGGCCCACCAAACCAAACCTACGATAGTAACTCTCTGATCCTTTATAGAAAACGTTTGCTAACCCCACCTCTAATCCCGGGAATGTATCTCCCTCATCTATAGGCTCCCTGGCCCAGCTCTAAGCCCAAGGCCTGGATTCAGAGAGTGAGAGAGAGGTTCCTGGCCCCTGTGAATTGAAAGAACCAGTGTCTCTGCCCTGCAGCCCCGGCCCAACCTGAACACTCACCCACCATCCACCCATACAGAGTTGCAGCGGTGTAGCTGTTCACAGGACTCAGAGCCCTTGCCGTCTTCCATGAGCATTTACCACTGGAAGCCAAAGTCCTGTGAGGTAGGCAGGGCAGCAATTGTCAACCCATTACATAGGCAAAACAAACCAAGGGACCAGCAGATGGCGTAGCAGTTACGTCCCTGGACTCCCACGTAATCAACCACTGTTCGAGTCCTAGAACTAGTGGTTTAAAATTCACACTGCACGTGTGTGTATGCATGCCTCAAATCCCAAGAAGAATGGAGGAGAGATTGTGGCATGGCCATCTCTCCTGGGGGGTGATTTTTCACTTTCTGTCTCTCCCTCTCTTTCTCAACAGTGAGTGCATGTGCTCTATAGCAAAAATCTCTCTAAAATAAAGAAAGAAAGAAAGAAATGAGACAGGAGGAATTACATGCAAAATTAAAATTAGATTCCAGGACTCCTAGTCCTCTCTGATTCTCTCTCTGACCTTCCCCCAAACCTCCCTCTAAGGAGTCCCTGCGGAGACACTAAGCCATCATGGCACATAAGCCAACCCAGAGGACATAGAGGAGAAGACTCACAGTTCTCATTCTGTGAGAATTTAAAATTCCTGCAGGGGAAAGAAAAAACAAAAAATAGGACAAGGAACGTCCCAGGTAAACGTATTTATAACGAAGAATTCATAGTTATTGTAACAAAGGATCCATATGTTCCAACTCAGTCCCAAGTAGCCCTGCAGATCCGTCCCCTACCAGGACACTAGCCAGTCACAGACGGAGTAGGCCAGGCAGGACCCAAGTATGTTAGTCATGGAGTGGCTCCCGAGATCTGGCAGCTCCTATGGTGATCTGGAGAAAACGATTCAGGAGATATAGAGCTGAATCATTAAGCAGGGCCTCTGAGAAGCAGCATGACTTCGAAACCATAGACCTTTCTAAACCTCAGTTTCCCCATGCAAAAAATGGGGTGATCATGCCTACCTCGCAGGGCAGAGAAGGAGACCGTGGCTGTAACACTATAAAGTGTTCTGCTTCCTTGAGACGTTTTCATTTATCTCATTACATAAACTTAGCAAGGTAGACTGTCAGCTGGCATTGAGGAGCAGGCAGGGAGTCTAAGCCTCTCGGTGGGTTGCTCAGGGTCATGGTCACCCCGAATCTGGATAATCAGAGCTCCAGTCACTGGAGCTGCTGTTCAGAGACTTCCCCCCAGCAGCAGCATCACGGACTCACCTTTGGATTCTTGAGCTCCTCCAGCACGTAATTGAGGTTATTCCAACCGTCGAAGGACCATAGGCCCTGGTAGAAGGCCATGCCGATGCGCCCTGCCTGCCACGTCGTGTTGTCGAAGGCTGACAGTAGGGCTTCGGTGCGGCCACGGCCTTGGCCCAGCACCACGGCCCCGCCCCCCACGATGACCAGCAGCGAGAGCACTTTGGCAGCCGTGAACACGTTCATCAGCGTGGTGGCCAGCCGCGAGCTCCAGCAGTGGACCAGCGTCATCAGCAGCAAGCAGGCGGCAGCGACACTCCTGAGCAGAAACTGGGGCAGTGAGGAGCAGCCAGGGTCAAAGGGAGCCACGGCATACTCGGCGAAGCTCAGCACGATGGCGGCGATGGCCGCTGGTCTGCCCACCAGCACAAACGTGTAGATGACCAGGAAGGCCGGCAAGGGCCCAAATGTTCGCAAGATGTAGGCGTATTCTCCCCCCGATTCTGGAATCAAGGCGCTCAGCTCAGCATAGCACAGGGCACCCAGCATGGCCAGGAGGCCACAGGCTGCCCAGACCACAAGGCTGGCCCCTGGGCTGCCCATATGAACCAAGACCCCCTGTGGAGACATGAAGATGCCAGAGCCGATCATACAGCCGGCAATCAGGGACACGGCACTCCACAGGCCAATCTCCCTCCTGAGCCTCAGCTCCGGAGCCCTCTCCCCTGCCTCCCGCCTCGCCATCCTTCCACCACCGTCTCTTTCCTGATTTGTCTCCATCTCAGGACTTCAGCAGACTAGCTGAGCACATGCTGGTGCCCGGATAGTTATCAGCCCTGTGAGCGTCCTGAAGAAGTTAATCATTACAGCACCTGAGGGAGTGTGAGACCATGACCAGTGAGCCGGGATGTGATGGTAGAAGACACTGAACCTTCCCTGGTCGAGCCAGCAGCGGTCTGACTCACACCTCGATGCAGGCGGTTTTGCAGGATCTTCTTGCCAATCTAGCTCAGGAAAGGTCAAGGAGAGAGGGGTTTACATAGAAACTCGTATTGTCCAATTTCGCTGTAACACGTGGGCAACCACAGCTGGGTGAGTGGCGTGTACCCACAGCACGAGTGCTGAGTGACGGCACATTGGGAACCCGCAAACTCTGAGCAACAGCTTTGTCTACCAAGCTGTCAGGAAATGAGGATTCCAACACAGATATCCTACAATAAAAACCTGTGGGACCAGCAGATGGTGTGAGGGTTATGTTGCTGGAATCCCACGTGGTTGACCGTGGTTCGAGTCCTGGACCCTGCAGTTTAAAACTCAGGCTGGGCACGTGTGCTTGAGTGTTCAAAATCCCGAGAGGAGAATGGAGGAGAAGTGATGGCAGTATGGCTGCCACCCCCACGGGGTGTGCGTGTGTGTGTGTGTGTGTGTGTGTGTGTGATTTCTTGCTTTCTGTCTCTCTGTCTCTCTCTGTTCTCTGGTGAGCGCATGCACCCTACAGCAAAAATCTCTCTAAAAAATAAGCCGCATGAACCCAACCCTAAGGGACCACTATAATCAAAGAAGAAATTCCAAATAGTCAGGGACAGAGCTGGTTCCCCCAGCAAGAGGGAAGGTGGTAGGGGAAGAATCCAGGTTCTGGAATAAGACTATTTGGGTTCAGTCTCACTTCTAGTATCTCATAGTTATGTGACCATGGGTGAGATCTCTGAACCTCGCCTTACTCACCTGCCAGTTTATAACACGACCCACTATATAAGGTTGCTTGAAGGATCAAATAAGATACCCATTCAAAGTAACTAGAATAGTATACCACACGTAGTAAGTATAACACGTTCTAGGCTTTCCTTAAATGTTAGCCATTACTAGCTGGTGAAGCTTTTCGTTAGTTCAGTTTAGAAAGGGGCATTGGAATTAATCGTAGGACGAAACAAGACAAGAGAAATAGATAGGCAGGTAGAGAGAGATAGTTATAATTAATATTAAATTGGGTATTCAATTCAACAGTAAATTTCATTCGTCTATAAATAATATTTATTTGGGGATATAGTGCATACCTTTTTTTTTGAGAGGTTTTTTTGCTATAGGGCATGTGCACGCGCCAGACAGACAGAGAGAGACAGAGAGACAGAAAGCGAGAAATCACCCCCCAGGGGAAATGGCCACACCACAATCCCTTCTTCTCCATTCTCCTCTCAGGATCTTGGGCACACACGCACACGCGTCTGGCGTGAGTTTTAAGCCACCGGGTCCAGGACGCGAACCGTGGTCGACTACATGGGTGTCCAGCAACATAGCCATTATGCTAACATATAGTCCCCCTTTTTTAAAGAGATATTTTTGCTATAGGGCATGTGTGCTCGCCAAAGACTCAGAGAGAAAGAAAGCGAGAAATCACGCCCCCGGGGGGGAGGGGGAATGGCCACTCTGCAATCCCTTCTCCCCCATTCTCCTCTCAGGAACTTGGGCACACACGCACACACTCCCAGCATGAGTTTAAGTTGCTAGTCCAGGACTCAATTACAGTGGACTACATGGGAGTCCAGTGACGTACCATTACGCCTTCTGCTGGTCCTCAAATGTATACCTTTTTATGGGTCCTCAAAGTTTTAAAGCTTAGCCTGTTGACCTTTACTAGTTTGTTATACAAAAGTCAATAAATTCACTGGCATCTGGGGTAAAGATGCTGACACTTGACGTGGGGAGAAGGGCGCTCGCAGTCTCCCGAACAGGATAGCCTAGCTCACGCCAGCCAGAGGGCTCCCTGGGTCTCAGGATCGTGGCTGCTCACCAAAGTGCTTGAGGGATTCACAGGGCTTCACCGTCTTGGTGCCTGGGTGTCCACCTCTGCCGCCCACCCCTGTTGTATTGAAGCCTACTGGACACAGGTCTTCAGAAAATGTGGAGCCATACTCAGAGAATTCCTAGAGAGGGGTCCTCCAAGATTCCTACTCAGTTGGAGGAAAGAGGAGAGAGAAGAAAAGCAAGCAGAGAAAATTCAGAGGCAAAGGCAAAGATAAGAAAGGAGAACATTCTGGAGGTTCCGGAGAGAAAAATCAGCTGCCTTTCTGCCCATAGTTGCTGTCAGATTTCACCTATGATGATGTAACGAAGACGCTGAAACTTCAACCCCGTCCTGCAGGGGCGACTGCAGGCAGATGTTGTGAAAGTTAACCTACTGTGACATTTAGCACGGTACGTGACACTATCCTCACTTCTGACACCAGTTGCAAGCTCAGGGGTCCTCAAGACCACCCCCTGCTCCATAACTTGCTAAAAGGACTTGTAGAACTCAATGGAAGCTTTTCTATGCTTAGTAATGGTTTATTATACCTGAAGGATACAGATTACGATCAGCCAAGGGAGAAAGTGCACAGGGCAGATTCCAAGAGGGTTCCAAACGCAGAGCTCGTGGTTATCACCTCCGTGGAGTCAGGACAGTGCTACTCTCCCAGCGTCAATGTGTGACAATGAGCATGTCACATGGCCAGACAGGGAAGCTCACAGGAGCCCTGGTGTCTAGACTGTGTACTGAGGTTCCATCATGTAGACATGACTGACTGCATGTGGCTGATCTCAGTGTCCGGCCCCTCCAGAGGCTGAGATGGTATTTCACAACCCAAAGCTCTCACCTGAAATCACACTGTTACTCTCATACTGGCCCAACGCCCCCAGACAAACAAAGATTCATCTGTCAAGCATGACGTTTCCAAGAGCTTGGAGATCCCCTTCTAGAAGCTGAGGGCCCAGGCCAGATCTATCTTTGGGCATGTTTAAATTCTTTTTATTTATTTATTTTTTTAAAGAGAGATTTTTGCTATAGGGTGCATGTGCTCACCAGAGAGACAGACAGAAAGTGAGAAATCACCCCCCAGGGGGACTGGCCACGCCGCAATCCCTTCTCCTCCGTTCTCTTCTCGGGATTTTGGGCACGCACGCACATGCCAGGCCTGGAATTCGAACCACGATCGAATGGGAGTCCAGTGACATAACAATTATGCCATTTGCTGGTCCCTTTTGCTTTTAAGATCTTTTTTAAACATAAAAGCCATTCTTAGGTCACAGGCCACTAAAAAACAAAACAGGTAGCATTAACTACTGAAAAAAGTTGGACTTCATCAAAATGTAAAACTTGTGTGTCAAAGGACACTGAAATAGGACGCAAAAAATGAGAGAAAATACTTGTAAATCAGATACCTCATAAGGGTCTCATGTCAACGCTACATAAAGAACTCTCACAATTCAACAGGGAAAAGACAACTCCATTATTTAAATGGGCAAAAGATCTGAATAGACATTTCTCTAAAGAAAATACTCAAACTAACACCAAACATATACTGCGATGCCTACACCCAACATCATTAGTCATTAGTGAAATGCAAATCAAAATCACAATTGGGTACGGATGTGCAGGAATTTGACCCCTCAAACATTGCTTATAGGAATAGGAAATGATGCAGGTACTGTAGAAGATAGTTTGGAAGTTCCTCAAAAATTTAAATATGGGGACCAGCAGTTAGCGTAATGGCTATGTCGCTGGACTCCCATGTAATCGACTGTGGTTCGCGTCCCGGACACGGTGGCTTAAACTCACACCGGGCGCGTTTGTGTGCATGCCCAAGACACCGAGAGGAGAATAGAGGAGAAGGGATTGCGGCATGACCATCCCCCCTGGGGAGTGATTTCTCGCTTTCTGTCTCTCTGTCTGTCTCTGTCTGTCTGGAGAGCATTCGCGCCCTATAGCAAAAACCTCTCAAAAAAAAAATTAAATATGGAGTTACACGTGACCCAGCAATTACATTCCCAGGTATATTTCCATGAAAACAGAAAACATACATTTACTCAAAGATTTTTACACACGTTTTCATAAAACCATTATTCTTAACGGCCAAAAGGCGTAAAAAACCGAAAGTCCACTGGCTGGTGAATGGATAAATAAGATCTGGTAAATCCATACAAAACCTATACAAAGAATGAAGTAATGGGGCCAGCAGGTGGCATGGTGGGTAAGGGCGTTGGACTCCCACCTGGTGGCTTGCTTGCTCACTTTCTCTCTCTCTCTCTCTCTCTCTTTCTCTCTGTCCCTCTCTGGCAAAATAAAAATACAAATAAATAAGTAAAGTTAAATTAAAGAAAAGAATGAAGTACTGATACCACTAGGACACGGGTGACCCTTGAACACATTACGCTAAGTGAAAGAAGCCAGACACAAAAGGCGCTATGTTTTATGGTCGCATTTATAGAGAACGTCTAGAATAGGTAAATCCAGAGACAGAAAGTGGCTTGGTGGTTGTCAAGGACTGGGAAGAAGGGGAGATGGAGGGTGACCGCTTAATGGGATAAGTGGAGTTCTTGAAGGAGATAGCAGAAACCTGAATTATGTACTCGTGGTGGCTACACAACATTACAGATATGATTAAGCCCCTGAATTGGATTCTCAAAATGATTACGAAGGTACATTTCTGTTCTGTGAATTTTATCTCAAATTAAAAAAAAATAAATAAAATAACTGACCACAGGGCTTTGGAAGGGGCCTGTGGTTCTGCGTGCTTCAGGGGAGACCTGCGTCTGCTCCCCCACCACCAGGGTAACAGGAAGTTCCTTCTTCATGGTTCTTCTCAGATCTCCCTAGGCCCCTGGGTCTTCTTACACTGCTCTGTGAGTCAGACTTCCGGTCATTCTCCTGCTACTCTGGGAGAGCTGAAGTGCAGACATCTCCTGGAGGCTCTGTCAGCAGTTGCTAGCTTCCAGACGGCCCCATCTGCTGGCCTGGGCTTTCTCCAGTGCGTAACATACACCAAGTGCCCAGAAAATACAGTACCGTGCATACACGAGAGACCGTTTGTAAATGCAAACCTGTTACCTAAAACTAGCTAAATATTAACCTCGACCCAATGAGGCACTCGTGTGCCCCCTAGTGAGCCCCCACAATGCTGATGGAGCCCTAGAGAGGAACTGATTCAATACATCTTTTAAAAAAAAATAATAATGTTTCCAGAAAGC